AAATGATATTAATGACGCAATATTAGTTTGGACTTTTACATTTTATTATTGTTATTAACAACAACAATAACAATAAGAATAATAATTATTATTCTTATTGTTATTATTATTAGTATCGTCAATATTATTACTTATACTACTGTTCCAGTTATTATTATTGTTATTATTATTATTATTATTATTATTATTATTATTATTATTATTATTATTATTATTATTATTATTAAATACTATGCCGGTTCGATTTTGTTGTCATAAAATGAGCAATTCTGGCATTTTGGAATTTTAACTTTAATATTTCCGACATCATTTCTGCCTCTTAAATTCACAATTTTTCTTCTCTTTTTAATTTTGGGGTCAGTTTATATCTGAGAGAATTATTTCCACCCTTCTTTCACCATTCACGTCAATAAATGATCTTTTCTGTGGAGTTAAGAAACACGTGGTCTCATCAGGAAGTCCAGAAGAAGCTCCAGTCAAGAGTTTCCCTTATGTTTTGTATATATTTTCTAAAAACGTATATTTTATTTATTCGTTTTATGTTTTTAAGAAAAGAATGTACGACAGCCTGATAGGTGATCAGCGTCATGCTGTCAGTCAGTTCGTACTCCGTGTTGCTTTTGTGTGTATTGATCCTAATTTGTCATTATGGCAGTACTTTCTATTAAGGATCAGACAGTTACATTTAAATATTAGTGTTTGTCTTGCAAACGGTTTTTTTTAAACAATTAAAGCAAATCTTTATTTCAAAAGAAAAAAAAAGAATTTAAAACTATTTCAGATTTACTCGTATTTGTTTTTCAGAAAGAAAAAAAAGTCAGTATCCAGTCAGTGTTTGGCGCTTAGTTCTAACAATTTTTTTAAGCGTTTCTAAACTAGCTGAAATCCATCTCACGACTCAACCGCGACACATAACCGCTGACGGCTTCCCATCAGGACTCGAGCCTCTGCTGCGTCTCTTTTCTTCTTCGCCACACAGCTGCGCTGTTCGCACAAATGACGCCTCCGCTCCCCTCTGGCCCGCACTTAACAAGGTGACAACAGGCGGCTGGAAAGCCATACGGAACCAGATGGCAAATGCACGGCACAGCCTGAGTGGTGCACGAAGAGCGATGTGAAACATGCACTCGTGATCAAACACAGAAATATGACTACGTCTAAGCAAAACAGCTCAGAGGAGCACTTAGATGCTGTCACTGAGATTAAGGGCAAGAAACGGCTTTGTATTTGGTTGCGCAGGGGCGTTTCCAGAATATTTTGAAATGGGGTGACACGGGTGGGGGCCAATAACAAAACATTTGATAAGGAATAAATACAATGCCAAGAACTGGAAGGCAGTGGGCTTTATATTGAGTATTTGTTTTACAAAGTGATTGTTCAATTTTGATTGAACAATTTTCTCAAGCAAAACCATCATCCTGCTTAAGCTCCATAATAATGGAACGCTACAGGCTTCAAATATATAAATATACTGCAAGTACCTAAAGTAGAAGTACTCATTAAATCATATGTGTATTATTTCATCATGAATATTGATTCATCAATGTATAGAAGTTTTTATATAGTTGTTGGCAGCTTCATCTCTACATGTATTACACATATTAGCATATTTACTCTTTGAAATGTGTAAACATAATCTGTGAATAAAGCTATAAAAATAATAAATGATATTAAGTACACAGTAAAACATTAGAATCCAAATATAGATGAGTGGGAGTATAAAGCCGCAGTAATGTGAGTAAATGTCCGCCGATACATTCCATCAGCGGCTCTTTGTGCGCGCTCATCAGGTGGCACCGGACACTGTGAGATTAATGACGCTCTGGTGCAAGGCCCTTGCTAACCCCACTGTCCCCACAGCGGACATGCTCCTGCGCCTATAAGCTTCCACTGTGTAAACTCGAGGCTGAAACAAACCGCGCTTATTTATTAATGCGTCATTTTCGCCTGATCCAAGCCAGACGCATTCTTCTCCAAATGATTCCGCTGACTTCTTGAATTTGAAATGAGTTTTGTGCCGGAGGTCTGCTCTGTTTAAAATCACAAGATCACTTTCTATAAATTGCTCTGCTCCCTAGATGTGAAACAAGGAAAATGCATATATTTATTTATTTATTTTGGGGTGGGTGTGGGGATCCTCGGGGCCTTTACCTGCCCGACAGATGCGCTCTCGCTCAGTAATGATACCTGCAGCACATTAGTCTCTAATCACTCGCGTTCTTCTTGAGCTTTTCGATCTGCGGAATCAATTATTCACTCCAGTCCCTTGAATTCGTTTCCATCAGGAATATTTCAGGGATCAATTTTTCATACTATTCCACATATTTTTTTATTTTATTTTTTGCGCTTGTTTGGCTTCGTTCCTAGATTCCCAGTTCCCCGAGAAGTGGAAAACAGATAGAGGGAAGAATCTGAGTGAGTGATGCAGCGGAGAGTCTCTGTCCCCACGGCCTTTAATAATTCAGAGCGCCTGCTCCAGCCCGGTGTCTTCGCATGAGGAGGTGAAAGCCACATGATGCGGCTTATTAACGGGACAGTTCTTTGGGTAAACACAACACGCTCGGGCCCCGTTTAACTGCGGAAAAAAACTCGGAATTTAACTACACAATAAGGACCCATTATATCTGTTTTGTTTTTTTCTTGAGCCAAACGAAGTACTTTAAATATTTAGATACGCGGAGAACTCTGACTCTATTCTGGTGATCCTTGTTCCACATCTGCAGTGATTACACATTATATTTTGTTTTATGCAACTTTCCTTTGAACAGCCTGGTTCAAAGGATGGATTTTTAAAAAACTGCGAACACGACACTGCTCACATCAGCGATTAAAAAAACAAAAACAAAAAATAGCTGACAAAGGGGAATAAAAATCGAAAAACGAAGAGAAATTCAGACGAAGTTCGTCGTGTATCCAAGACTTTAATTAATTTCAAAATAACATTCTGACATAAATAAAGATAATAGCTCAGGGCGCATGCGTTTTTTTTTGGTATTGAGGGGAAAGTTTGGAGCGCGTTATTATCCAAAACCGCGCTCACTCTGCATCCAGCAGCCTGCATGTCTGGTAAGAAACAAAGCTTTAAACGGACTTTAACGCTCCTGTTTTGAACGTCTAACGAGCTCTGCGAGAATCCAGCACACCCAGTATAAACCAACAAATGTGCTCGTTTTCAACAACCGTCTGACATTTCATGAAATGTTCAATAAGCTCTTATCACTCTCGCTTTTATGCACACACGTTTTGTCATATCGCCTCTAAGAGGCCTGCATTTCTTGCAGTCCCACGCTGTTGCCGGCTACTCCCCCCCCCTCATCGCGAGCGCAGACATCACCGTCATTATCATATTTAATATTATTGACGAATGAGCGCCGAGAAGCGGACTGGCTCTCTGCCACTTAATTCTCGCTTCGCTTCTCTGGTCCCGCTTAATTCTCGCTGCGCGTCGGCGGGAGCTGGCGGTGCTGCCAGGTGTCTTCACGTTCCCGTCGAGGTCTCGGAGGAAAGGTGAGTGAAAGGATGTGTCTGTTGTTGTTTTATGGTTTTTGGGAGAGTGTTAAAGATAATCGCCCTCTTGATGGAGAGTGGGGAAGAACCAACTGGCGTCTCTCTCTTAATGAAGCCCTGCGGGGTTTAGTGTCTTTTCCACGATTGATCTTCGCTATAAATCTGTGGTCACGCGTCACTTTTTACCTGTTACTAACAGATCTCCAGTATGCAGGCCCGTGCCGTCTCCTTTCCCCAGCAGGCAGGCGTACTGCTTGCGCACACTTTATGTCTGTTTTTTTCGTGTTGTTGTTGGACCCCGCTGCCTCCCCCAGTACTGAACCCATAGGCCGAGAGTGAGAGAGAGCAGTAAATGCGTGACCCCGCCTCCCCTTCTCCTCACCCACTTCTTCTCCTCACCGGTGCCGCACGGTTACTTGCTCCATGAAAAAGCTGCAGCCAGCAGTGCGTTCCTGTTGCAGATGTTGTAAACCGATGGCTTCATTTCTCTCAGTTCGAATGGGCTTGCAACAATGTGCGCGAGAGCCTCGACATGTTTGCAGTTTACAGTGAGGCTGCATGCAAATGTGCGCGCACGCAGGCCGGATAGGACGCGGAGAGCAGAAACAGTAGTGCCTTTAAAATAGTTCAAAAACAGCATTAATATAAACATCAGAAATACAATCTTGAAGGTTTTCACGCAGAACTTCAGCACAGCTAAAACAAACAAGAAACAAATCTCATTCTCACCTACATTTGTTCCACATTTTTTTTGTCTTGCGTGACTTCGTGACAACGATATTTTCAAAACAAAGGTTAAAAAAAAAGCCTTTAGGCCATTTGACCCAGCTGGCTCCCTTATCTATTAGACAGGGCGCAGTGGCATCTGTCTGTCAAGTCGCAGGTTTATCATTAACAGGGATCCCACAGCACTGCCCACTGCTGTTCTATTGAGCCATCTAATAAGAACAGAGAGAGAGGGAGAGAGCTCATCCTTGACTTATTATTAGGCTACTTATTAACATGTATCAGCACATGGACTTCAGCTCGGATGATACTGACATGCCTGAGGGTATTAGAGGAAAGCTGCGGCGCTGATAGCAGCGCGATAAGTTACTGCTGCGTGAGGCACAATCATTCTAATCGAAGAAAAGGTGACAGCAGAGCGCACGCGTCAAGGTCGCTCTGATAGGTGTGCGCTTGTTATGGCACAGAGATCTGAGGGAGATATGAGTCAGGAAAACTCAGCTGCTCCTCTTTGCAAGGAGAGATCATAAAGTCCGAACAACCCCACCCCCTTCCCTTCATCTGAATCTCCAAATACTTCAAATATGAAGGAGGAAGAAGAAGAAGAAGAGCTGTATGTCCTGTGAGAGAGATCCGGCCCACAAAACGCGTTCATGGGTTAGATTAGCCGCTTTTGACGCCCCCTCTCCACCCTCCCTCGCTTCCCTCCGCTTTTGTCTCTCCTCCCTTCTCTCCTCCCTCTTACAAGTCAGCGCGCCCGTTGGCACAGGAAAGATTGAAAGTGACATACACTGATTAGAAACCGGTCCTCTGCGTTGTTAAACCCCGCTGTGACACCGCAACTCGAACTTCGCTGGTTGTTTTCTTTTCTTGCTTTTCGGTCAGATTGCTTTTCTTTGCCCGGACTGTATAGCGTTTTTTTCGCGGTGCGTCGCGCTGTTTGTGAACATTTTCTCTCTCTCTCTTCCGAGGATGATGCCATGAGTTTAGAGGAGAGCACACTTGTGCCACAGAGACGCCTTTTGAGCTAAAAGGCGGGCAGACGCTTTAAAGAGGGGACGAAGATTTACAAAAAGAGCCGAACACATTTACGTGTGTGCGCTGCTGTCCACAAACTCTCCCTTTTCTTTCCTTCTCATCTCCGCTCGCTCCGCTGCTTTGGGCGCTATCCACACACACACACACACACACACTCAAACCCTTCAGCCTTCACTACCAATAAATCAACTTTTCTTCTCTGTGGATCTCCTGCGCGGTCTCGACTCCAGACCCAGCAGCACAGGACCCGCGTGACCCAGGAGTCGAATCAAAGCCCAGCCCTGGATTCAATACTCCTGATCAATGGACAAAGCCTCCTCAGCGGGCAGCAGCGCTACAGACACGTCGTAAACAGTGAGTACACACACACACACACACACACACACACACACACACACACACACACACACACACACACACACACACACACGGACTGTCAGCAGCAAGTCTGTACTGAAGACTGTAAGATCATGTAGAGATTTCTCTGCAAAGTCCAAACAAATGCTACACAATCCAACCAGCCGACAGGAAACTCCAGGGACTTTGATTTTATGCTTCCTTGCGAAAAGTGAGTGATTCATAATAACATAATAAAAATAGCTATGATAATTAGTAAAAGTTGTACTTGTAATCATTCCATTTAAGGACTAATAATGTACTAATTATTGCATACTCAAGGCTATTGGCATTACGTTATCTTTAACAGTATTTATAGTAATAATTAAGTAGAAGTAAGTATAATAAGTAAATAAAATTAGAGAGTGAAAATCATATTTCTGCCTCAAAAAGTGTCGAAAATTACAGCTCACGGCTTCCTATAATTTCCTTAATGTAGAAAAACGCTCTGCTTTCTAATTACATACGGGTTATTTCTCCTAATTAGTCTTCGTGTTTGACGGGAGGTCACTTTCATAAGAAGTGTTTGAAATATTATCCATAGAGAAATATTATATATGTCTATAAAATTACGTACTATTATTTTATATTTTCATTTTTGAACGAGCTATTCTTCAAACATATTTAGATATTAAAAAAAAAAAAAGTTTGCCTTTAGTTCACATCTTCCCTTTATTAATTAGCGCTTTGATAAAAACACAAACAGCGTGAAAATAACGCAATGTTTAATTTTATTTTTAAAGTAAAGGATCAGGATAACTCACCCCTGTGTGTGTGTGTGTGTGTGTGTGTGTGTGTGTGTGTGTGTGTGTGTGTGTGTGTGTGTGTGTGTGTGTGTGTTTAAGTGTGCTCAGGTTTAAAATACACAGACAAAAAATGAAGTTATATTTTCAGTAAACTAGAGAGAAGGAAAATAGAATGCGTCACAGGATTTCTTCACTTTGTAACTTTTTAACCTCTAAAAAATATAATTCATGACGAATTACTTTGAGAGGTGTTACAAATTAACACGTGCTGAGCTTAAATAACCCCTTACCACCACCCCTCGTTAGTTTTACACTGTTTCGTTTGCAGAGAGACACATATTCACCAGAAAACGGGACGAGTGATGAATAAAACATAGCGAGGGGAGCAGAGAGGTGTACGACAGCGTCCAAGTGTTTCCTGCTGCTACAGGGGCCTTCTAACCTCTGCGACACATCGCACACTCAGAATCTAAAAGTTACCTGCTGCTTTAGAGGTCTGTAAAATATTGGGGGGGGATTCAGATTCAAGTATTCAGATATAGGAAGAGGTTTGGGAGTAAAAGGCCTCCATGTCTGCTGCGCGTAATCAGAAGAAACCAGAGCCAAATGCGTTTGGCTCCAAATGAGAAACAGTCCCTCTGCAGACCGTCATGTCAGGAGCAATAGTTTGTCCTGCTAAACACAAACGCTTTTTAAAAAGCTTTTCCCCCCCAAGACAAAGCCACACTTCTTCTGTTTCCACGTCACAGTTAACAGTGTTGTGTATGTGTTGTTAATAAAGCAAAGTTCATATCTAAAAGAAAGGCAGTGCTCTGTCCCCCTTTCCCCTCGCTTGATTTTAAAGTGATTCCTTTTATTTCGGCTCTGTGCGTAAAAGCCGAGGTTCCTCATGCTGGAGTCTGTCCGTCCTCTCTGACCTTTAAGAAACTGCAGGCTGACTCAGTTCCTTCTTCGTCTCCAAACCACCAAGAATCCAAAGCAGCGCTCGTGTTTAGAGTGTTTTTCTCATGGAGTTTGACTCGCGTGAAGTGCCAGCTTCCCTTCGCACACACGTCAGGTTTTCTTTTTTAATATATATATGTACACACACACACACACACACACACACACACACACACACACACACACACACACACACATATATATATGTGTGTGTGTGTGTGTGTGTGTCTCTCTTATTTTGTTGTTTTGGTTGGTCAAGCTAACTAATATTAATATTAATATTTAGAATATTTACATTTTATGAGTTGCAGTTTCTAATTATGAAATAACGAAAACTGCCGACAGCAAGGTGCGCGCAAGCTGCACCTCAGTGTCCACCTTTTCTCATTCTCTCAAGACAGCAGAGTTCCTTTAAAATATGTGTATGTGAAAGGGGGAAAGGGGGGGGGGGGAATGCAGGATTTTATATATTTATTTATATATTTTAGCCAACCGCGAGGAAAAATGAATTCGTTTCGGCTGCAGTGATGGCCGCTTTCTGGGGCTGCCTGTCTGCTCAGAGTTTACTCACAGGTTCAAAAAGTTGAAGAGAGAGGAGGAGATAGTGTGGAACTCTAACCCTGTTTTTGTATATTTAAAAAATAAAAATAAAAACCTGATGGTGATGCTTTTTAAAGCTTGGCCCGAACACCTAAAAATATCCATTCTTTCATTTATTGAGAAGTCTTTATTTCTCTTAACTTTAATATCTGGATATACTTTGGGCTTTCAGGAGTTATCCAGCTATAAGAAACTGAGGTTTCATCTACCCTTAAATGGTCCACTGGAAATATTTCAGGGACTCTCTTTCTCCATGAACCCGACTATCTGTTCACATATATTATAGGTGTGCTATTGAACCGTAGATTAGATTAGAAAATGTGTGTGGGCGCTGATGATGATGCTATGGGCGTCACTGCTGCTCTGTGCGCTCACATATACACTGTTATATCTCCCATTCAGCCTGTTTCATAATGGTCTCACTGACCTGGTGATCATAAATGAAGCTCTTAAAGCCTGAGGAACCCCCCACCCCCTAAAGTAATATCTACAGTTATTCTCATTCTGGTGAGGCCTGCGTGAGCTGTGGTGAATGGTTTGGCATCAGTGTGTGTGTGGATGTCACAGTAAAATTTTACCATTTCCCTCCAGCTACTTCTCTCCTCTGCGGGCAAAGTAACAGTAACTTTTTTTTATGATGTAGTGCAGTTTGAATCTACACCTCCTCACTGTTACAAGAACCTGGTTGTGTCCAGCATCGTCGTTTTGGATGAGCACGCGCATGTGTTTGCGTCTCGTGCACCGCATTCGTCCCCGCTGTGAGTGGCTGTGCTCTGAGTCAGTGTGTGGTCCCTGGATGTGTTAAAGCAGAGTCTGTGTAGCACGCTGGCTGTGGTTTGTGTGGCTCCGCGTCTGTCTTTACGCGGAAGAGCGTGCGCATCCTCCCAAATGGAAGGGCGAGGCAGTAAATGCTCGCTCTTCATCCTCGCGTTATCGAATGAGATGTTTACGAGAGAGCCAAAAATGTTTGCCAGAAGGGCCATCGTCTCGCCCCCTCACTCTGCTTGCTTTCTTCACTCCGTCTGCGCGGATGTGAGTTTGCGTGTGTCTGAGTGCGTGGAACCACCTCAGAGCTTCAAAATAGTTGTGTTTCTCTTAAAGGTCCGTCCCGCCCGCCTCCCCCCTCACACCAATGCTCTCCACATCACAGTAACACATCTGATGGCCATAAACAGCAAATTCCGCACTAATGTAACCTTCCCGAACAGCAATCATTCCTCATAATCAGCCACATAAAAATGTTCATGTAGTTCCTCATGTTGCTTTCAGACTTTCAAAAACACATTTAGAAAGTGACACTTTTTTAACTTCCCCCTCAGTGTATTTTTTATTCCTTTGCATTGTCTCACGTATTAATTATTAGTGTCAGTAAAAGTGATGCAAAATTAACAGATTGACTTCCTAATGCCGGTGCCGTCATTTAGGGATGCACTGATACATCAGTGAAGAAAACACTAGCCATGTTTACTGATAAATAAGATAATATTTACTGATATCTGTAGTCGATATTTAGCTGTTGTGTTACATCAACTTTTATTTCGGCCAAATAATCCAAAACTCTTTAATAAAGAGCTGAAAATCTACAAAAAAATTCTGTTACTTTTTCAACATGAACATTTTCTTTTGTCTCCAGGGAGCAAAGTAGAAAATAACAAACCACAAAAAATAAGTAATAGGTAAATAAAAAGTCTCTATGGGTATTTATAATCCATGCTTCACAATAGGTCTAGCTCTAATTTAATTATTTCTGCAGACATCCAGGAACCAGATTGATTAATAAATAAATATCTGGCCACATGGATCTGAATACATTTCTGCAGCACTGTCTGTTGGTAGTTTCAGCTGGGATACTGGTCTAACTGATTGATATTGACATCGACATTTCCCACCATCACTGGCTGATATTTATCTGCTGTGTTGCATAAATTTTGAGCTCACTAAATTATTTTTAAAACTGTGTAACAAAGAGCCAGAAGACTTTAATACAGTTTGGTTACTTTTTAAATGAAAGATTTTTCAATTTCCTTCAAACAAAGAGGGGGAAGAAATGACGTGAAAGATGTGTTCTATTTAGTGTCAGTGCCGGGTTACAATCCCAGATTCACTGCATCCCTGTAGTTTCATTAATTCCACAGACATTCAGAATGTAAGCTGACAACTTGAGCTAAAATGATCTGTTCATTGATCAACGATAAATAAATAAATACTTTGAATAAATTGGCAACAATTCTAGTCATTGATTTATTTCATTTTTTTTAAAGGCGTGAACTAATTCAGCTCAGTTTTATTTTTTATAGCAACAATCCACAACAACAGTTGCCTCAAAGTGTGACTAAGGACTCGAGAGTATCAGAAAGATAAGTAACCCTATATTTTGGGGAAAGGGAAAACTTTTTCTCTAACAATTTAAAACATAAAAGACACTCTGAGGGCCTCGGATTAGGGTTAGGGTAAGGTCGTCATAGATTAGTTGTCACATTGGCAGCAACCTCGGCTGGTGTACCTCTGTGTTGGAACAATGTTACTTTACCCAAATCAGAATCTCAGAAGTTCTTTAAGGAAACACAACTTTGACTACAATATGTCACTTCAAGGCACTTTCTATTGTAAGGTAAAGACCCTACAACATTAGAAAGAAAACCAGACTCAGGGAGGGGCGGCCATCTGCCG